GGCCCCCCTGCCGGTCAGGTTTCTGCCCCGGCCTGCGTGCCTGGCTCCTGCTGTCGTCAGCGTGTTCCCGTTGTGTCTGATCTCCCCCCAGCACCTTTCTGCCCTCTGTCACCCGGGCAACAAGAGCAGCCTGACCCCCAGGGCTGGAGGCGAACAGCCCAGTGCGGAGGCGTCGTCCAGCCGCTGGCATTGATCCCGTGCCCGACCCTCTACGCATCCTGAGAGCCGGCGGCTCCCGAGACTTGATCCCAGCTCCGCTGTGGCCCTGCCGTGTAGCCTGGGACCACAGCCTTCCCCGCTCGGGTCCCCCGCTGGGGCACAAAGCCTTGCCAGCCTCGCTGGGTGCCTCCCCAGTGCATTAAGGAGCAAGGGGGCAGTGGGTGCCGCAGCCCGACCCGCATGCTCAACAGCAGCTGTGAGGGCTGGTTCCTGGGAACGGGCTTCAGCCTCCTGGCAGGGGGAGAGCCCTGGGCCTCTGCCTGGGCAGGCTCCCTGGCAAAGCCCCGTCCCAGCTGCAGTACGGCCAGGGCTGCGTGCAGCGCCGCTGGCTGAAGCCGTGTCCGAGTCTCCCGGGTGTCCCGTGCCGAGGCTGCTCTGGCGGCCGAACGCCTCGTGCTGAAGTCTCTCTCCCTTCCGGCAGGCTACTCGTCAAATTTCCTGAGCTCAACTATCAGCTGAAGATTAAAGTCTGCATCGACAAGTGAGTGTGGCGCCCGCGGGGGCTGGTATCGCAGAGCAAAGGGGCACCAGCCTCTCCGAGGGGGAAAATCGGCTCCTGGGCCAAGCCCCGGCACGAGCCGGGGGCCGTGTGGTGCCCTGGGCACAGGGAGGTTTTCACGCCCGCTGCACGCTGTCCCCCTGCCCTTAGGGTGCAGGGGCCCACGTGCAAAGGAGCTGGTAGGTCCCCTTAGGAGCTGCAGTGCCACTTCGGGGGGTGGGGGTGTGTGTGTGTGTGTGTGTGTGTGTGTGTGTGTATAGGACACGCTCTCCGCTCCGGCGTGCACTGACACTGAGCCTCTCTCCTCTCCAGGGACTCGGGGGACGTTGCCGCGCTCCGGGGGTAAGTGACTCCAACGTGTCTCCTCTCTCTCCGTCCCTGACGCACGTCCTGCCCCCTGCTCTGTCCTGGACTCTGGGGGGTTCTAACACCCTCCACTCCCCTCAGGTCCCGGAAGTTTAACATCTTGGGCACGAACACCAAGGTTATGAACATGGAGGAGTCGAACAACGGCAGCCTGTCAGCAGAGTTCAAGCATCTGGTAAGTTGCGGGGCCCGTGTGCGCCCGGGGGGGCCC